TGTGGTTTAACTAGACTCTACTGTGGTTTAACTAGACTCTACTATAGTTTAACTAGACTCTACTGTAGTTAACTAGACTCCAGTGATGGATTATGTCAGGTGTGTGTGTTCAGGTATCGCTGTATGAAGTGTGTGAACGTCCACGTGTGTCAGAGCTGCTTCCTGACCGACAGACAGACGAGAAAACACAAAACTCACCATCCAGTGCTTGAATTCTGCACACAGGTAACAACACACGTAACAACACACAGGTAATAACACACAGAACAACACACAGGTAATAACACACAGGTAACAACAGGTAATTATACACAGGTAACAACACACAGGTACAGACAGGCAGGTAGTAAGACAGACTAATAGCTACAGACAGGTTAACTTTTTAACTTTCAGTTTGTGTCTGTCAGCCCACCTGGAGAGAGTCTCTGTCCTCGTTGGTGCACAGCACTCGTCATGCCCTGTTGCCACGGCGATACACACGGAGAGAGGTTGACAGGATGTGGGCGGAGCCAGGAGAGAGTCAGAACAGGTGAGTCAGGCGTGACTCGTTAACTTTGTCCCATTAATCTCCCGTTAATCAGGATTTTGTCTCTCAGTGCTCCGCCTCCCTCGGATCCCTCAACACAATTGGCTGCCTCAGCTGTCAGTCACAGTCCCACCTCCAACAGAGAAGCTTCCCACGATGCCTCGGTGCAACTGCCACCCTGCTCGTTTTCCTCTAAAGCTCTGCAGACTGACGAGGAGACACCAGCTCAGCAGGTGACCTCTGACCTCTGTAAACTTTCCTCAGAGGTTTGACCCGTGTTTTACACCAATATAACAGTTGTGGTTGTTGTTGTTGTTGTTGACGACAGGTGAAGGCGTCGGCTCTGCTCACTGAAGTCAGAAACCTGCAGAGAGACAAATGGTGAGAGAGCAGAATCAACCAATCACAGACGTTCTGGGTTCTACCTCATTATCTTCTTCTTCTTCTGTGGTTGTCTTCAGGCTGTTGGAGCAGCAGCTGCAGGCGTGGCGGCTCACCGTCCAATCAGAGCAGGGCATCCTGGAGGACAGGTGTTCTGAGATGGAAGTTAGCATGGAAACGCTGCGAGAACACAACCTCAGTCTGCAGGGAATGCTCACACAGGTGAGGCCAGGCCTCTATTGGAGGCTTTTAAAGGAGACCTCCGTCTATTTGGGAATAAAGTGTGTGATTGCTGCCACTGCTGACCTCTGCCCTGTATATACAGCACTGACTTCAAGGTTGTAAATAAGTCTGCAATTAACTTAAATAAATACAATAAATATATAAATATTTATAACAAACAAATTGAATTTAATATTTGTTCATCTTTCCTTCTTCAGGCTCTGAACAAGATGGAGGCTCAACAACACGCCAACAACACACAACAAAGCAGCGTCAATGAGAACGTGGAGAACACTGAGAACGTGGATAACACTGAGAACGTGGAGAACACTGAGAACGTGGAGAACACTGAGAACACTGAGAACACAGAGAACACAGAGAACGTGGAGAACACTGAGAACACAGAGAACGTGGAGAAC